AGCACCGTACGGTATTGTAGTGACTAAGCGCTTTTAAATTGTCACTACGCCCTTCTTCCATACGTGTTTTATAGCATTACTCAGCATAGCGCTGAATGAAATGAGGTCACTTTGAATACTTAATGCCGAAGATACCATTCTCATACAAGTTCCACGGGAAATTTCCATCTCAAAGATTTACCAAGTTGGAAGTTCCAAACGTGGAGTTCGATTCTTAAAACACTTTCTCAGGTTGAACTTCTTTCAATCTTCTCTATTGGACACACTTCTTTTTTACTCTCTTCAACTTGGCAATTTTCCCGTTAATGTAACATTGGTGGCGAAATCGCAACCACTGTTTGAAAACTCCACGTAAGAGTGTACCTTTTTGTTTCTAAAATGAGAAAAATACATTAGAGCGGTTGGTATTTAATTCACGAGTGTGGCAACTGCAACACTTTTCTTTACAGCCGTAGCAATTTAACTACAGTGCTGAGATAACGAAGCCATTATCTCGCTTATTATCCTAACTAGTTAGCGACGCACACTGTAATTTGTTCTCACTGGTAATCGTTTTATAACAAATCTACAGTATTATTACGATAATAACATGAATGAATTCATCAAAGTGGAATACACAATTAGCATGTCTCATTGAAATTGCATTTAATAGATGAGATATAACTCGCGCATCGTTGTAATTAATTCTACTTTGCCCGCATTAAATATTGTATATTTCCTACTATATGTTAGAGATAGAATATTTTTAGTTGTCAATACAAACGTTCACTGAAACAGTATTACACAGCATTTCTACCATCGAAATTATTTGTCTGTGGTATTTGCAGAATGGCTTAAACAAACTTTAGTTCTATTACGACATGGCTCTATTGTGGCATTTACTGTAATTAAAACGCTATCGTCAATACTGTCCATCGAAAAGTCAATTGTCTACAATTGTTGTATGCATAATGTAGTTAAATACAAATTAAATACTTGGTTTACATTCGTCTTCAAATACTATCAGTAAAATGTCATCGTCATAAAGTAGCACAAAAATTACGCGTCAACTTTTTCAGAACCATTAGAAAAAGAAATCGACTTGAAGAAATCGCTCGTTACTTCAAGAAGGAGAGAACGTGTAAGAACACCTTATGCTGCAATTTGAAACTTTCTAAACGACGTTCCTCGACATTCATGGCACCGAAAGGTTGCATTTCATTACGTCACTCGCTCGCTCGCGCAAAAAGCGCCTACATCTATTTTTCCGCCGAATCAGCCGAAATCCAGGCCGTAAAAATAAATCGCCGCTCCTTTCGCCGCGCGAAAATTACGACGTGTATCAAAAGGGCGGAAAATGGGCTCGTATCGTGCACGACCAAGACGGTTTGACAGAAATCATTGTCGTACGTTAATCTTACGACGGTCTTATAAGTATTCATTCGTGAAGTTACAACGGCGTCGTCGGCTCCGCCGTGCCGGAGCAAAGCGGATTGGGAGAAACGAAGGGTGGTATGCAGCTCGCTCGAGGGCGGCTCGTGCAAGAGGAGCACAACTAGGTGGTATCTAGGTGGCGCAGCCGCGACGACCAGAAAATCGATACTTATCGTGTGCCGGCGAGCGACGGGTCGGCTTCCAGTACGCGACTCGTGTGCACGAGGTAAACACGGCTCTAATCGACAATTAGAATGGAATGACGCGTGAGAAGTGAGAGTCAACCGAGTCACTCCGATCCAATTGTCAGCAAGATGGTACGTCCACGTGGAGAAGTCGATGACGATCATTGAAACGATGCGCGGGTGCTGACGATTGCGGTGCCCGAGAGTGCAGATCGCACTCGAGGCAGACCCGAGAGAGTTCGGGAGTCAAATCGAGTGCACGCGACATATCCGCGAACCCTGTCGGCACCCGCGACGTCGACGACGAGCGTGTCTCTTCGACCGTCTCGCGGTTCATTTCCGGTGAATGACATACTATTCCATTTTCTCTTTGTATGTGCAGTATGGTTTTGTGAATTACGCCCTCGAGCTCCTGGTCGTGAAGACCTTTGGCAACGAGACGTGGGAGGCAATAAAGTAGGTAAAAATAGGTGACCCGTCTCTCTCTCTGTTGTCTCTCGTGCTTTTCTCTTGCACGTCTCTTCTATCATGTCGGTATGAAACTTCGCGTGATCCCTGCGGCGTTTCGCTCAGGTACCGTCGGATGAGCAATCAAATATTGATATAGGTCAGTCCGTTCAAAAGTTCTAAAAGACACGTTACAAACTGAATAACATCGTCGTGAGAGTTTATTAGGACACCTGTATGCGTATTATTCATGCTTTGTTGTCTATTTATATTACATATTGCTCACATGTCTATATATCAAGACTGTTATATCACATGCAAATTGTTTCCCGCCTTCTATTTATTTTAAGAATTTATCTCCTTTCCATCGTTTACATTGTCATTTAAGTTAGAACTACAGATTCTCAAAATGTTACCTATTATTTTATAAGATCCAAATATTAAAAAAAATATTTTTATCTTTTAAAAAAACTTGAGTAAATTTACGAATCTAAATTAATTTTTTTTATTAATTATTATGTAATTCTATTTGGTACAAATATCACGTTTGTATTATAATATTTTAGCGATTATAAACTTACAATTACGAAGCATATTGTGTTAAGAAAAATGTTTTAAACTATACAGTCTCTGAACTCATAATGTAAGTTTCTCGAATGAAATGGACATTACTTAAAAATATCTATAAAAGAACCAATTTACCCGCTTTAAACGAAGTTTAGCAATATGGTCGACAAAATTAGGTTGTCGAATAATGTCAGGTAACGTTGGAAGTATCATCTGGTTTCATGACAACATCGCAATACAATTAGGAAGTAACGTGCAGTAAAGGTTCCATCCTGACTATAGATATTTTATCAAGATTTGATTGAAAATATACAATTTTAACAATGTTGCTTAAAACGAAATTGAACTTTAATTATAGTGTAAGACAAAATTACATATTAACAGTATTGGCTATTTTTGTGACAATGTAAATTTTTATTATTAATATTATTTTAAGTATTGCTGTTTATTTCTTTCATTATTGTGTTAATTATCCTGTTTTAATTATTATTAGCATTTTCTTATCTTTTCGGAACATAATTCTCCTGAAAAATGCCATAAGCTTTTCTGGTATATAAATATTGCTAAAGCTGCTACAGAAGCTCTCGAGAGACGCTGAGGTAAGCTTCAAGTGACACCTGATATCCATATCAAAGAACCTATCCACTTCGAGCACTTGACACGTAAACTAAATGATAGCAAGGCCAAAAGAAAGTATTTACCACAAAGTGTCAAGCTTTCAAAGTTTCTTTAAAAGAAAAAATTATGTTGAAAATAAATCTTTTCCCGCATTATCGATTTTTATAATTTCTGTATTGATGATTTAGAAAAGATGCGGCGGTTAGTATGGAGGGGCAGTTTCTGGTGCGACAAATCTATGACGACGAGATTACATATAATCTGATATCCGCTGCCGTCAATAGACTTAGTACGTATGCTTCCGTAATTACAGCGAAATGCGACATCATTGGGCTTGCTTGAAAAATTCACCGGACATATATTTCTACTCTAGATATTCCTGCCAACGAAATACTTGAATTGTTTGGTCGAATGTTTTTCGAATTCTGTCAAGATTCCGGTTACGACAAGATTCTTCAAGTCCTCGGAGCAACGCCTCGAGATTTTTTGCAGGTAAATCTTGAAGACTAGATCTATTGCAGGTTTCTCTCAGATCAGGAACGATTTCATGCGCTTAGTCATCTGGTTTATGTTCGCGCGAAAAATAAAACTTGCATCTCATCTTTAACTCGATCGTTAACTGATCTCACTTGCGCCTTAGAATCTCATTAGGGACAACGTAGTCGTTAAGTAGTTTATTAAATCATACGTTCCGCATCTGTGTATATCGTTACTATAATTTATTGTGGCACTTGTTAAACCAGTCATAGATAAAGTAATATGCACCTGGATAAACACATTAAGAAATCTCATTATTGAAGCTATCTGCATAAATTAAATATTACTCTTTAATATTCTGAAGCTAATAAATCAATAATTAATTTGCAACAATTATAATTAAGTAAGAATATAAATAAGTAATAATTATAATTAAGTAAGAATAATGAGTGTAATTAGTAATCAAAAAAGATAAATGTAGACATTACGATTATTTACTACAAACTAAGTAGAAATTTAACTTTATATTATTTTATTATTCGGTATTCAGAATTTCAAAGAGATATTTAATTCTTCATGCTTATTCGTTCTATATAAAAGAGAATCGTGTAATTTAATTCAGCACGTACGGTTTTTGCTCTTCGTAAAATTTTATTTATATTTTCTACTACACTTTGATATTTAATATCAAAAATGGTTAAAATATCTCAAATATCAATATCGATGAAAATTACATTTTAATATTATTTTCTGATTTTTTGCTTATTTTAACTGTATTAATATTTAATATCTGAAAAATAACAAAAATTGTTTAAATACATTCATATCGCGTTGTAGCATGATATTAAAATTATTAATTGAAGAAATATTGTACAATTTATTTTTTATATTGTGATACATATATGCACACGTCGGATATATATGCGTTACAGAATTTGGATGCACTTCATGATCATTTGGGTACTTTATATCCGGGCATGAGGGCGCCATCCTTTAGATGTACGGAGAGACCTGAGGATGGCGCGCTTATTTTGCATTATTATTCAGATCGACCTGGTTTGGAGCACATCGTTATTGGAATCGTTAAGGTAACTGATTTTGTAGACAGATAAAAATATGATTCATTATGCGGAGAATCTCAAATAGCAGAATAAAGTTTAATCATTCTTGAGAAATCTACAAGTATGTACATTTAAAGCTGCAAAAACTTGACTATAACAAGCTTCGTGAGAATTTATTATGATGATTTTGTTCAACGAATGTTTCTTAGCCGATATTATAAGCGAAACAATGACAGGAAAAAATCCATTCTACTTTTTTAAACAGACGGTCGCGAAAAAGCTACACGACACGGAAGTTGACATGCAGATAGTGAAGACCAAAAGCGAATGCGATCATGTGCAGTTCCTCATAACTGACACATCAGGGCCGGGAGTGGTATCAAACCCTATGATCGCCGAGCTGGAAACATTGTCTGTTGGTGAGTGGATGCATCACTGTTTGCCGCGATAAAAGGAATCGACATGAACAAAACGGTTGAAAATAAAATCGTGGCTGCTACAAAATATTTGAACGTAACCTTAAAACCTTAAGCGCATCTTGTGATGCGAAAATAAATAAAAATCTTGATAAATTGTCGTAGAACCAAGAGTCAGCCCGACAACATTCTGTCGAGTTTTCCCATTCCATCTTATGTTCAATCAGGACCTCACCATCATTCAAACCGGATGCACCATCACGCGTGTCATACCACGCGTCACCAGCGGTAACTGCAAATTAAACGACATTCTCTCAACCGTAAGTTGACGCGATATTTCTATTGTAATGTATGCGTATTTCATACGCTTTTTACATTTTTACGTATCTTTTACTTTGAATATTTTGTATTTTGAACTTGTTAAAAAACGCATGCATTTTTTTTTAATCAATTTTTTTTATATTATTATTGTACTTTAAAAGTGTATGAATTGCATATGAAGATTTCTGTTTGACAATGTTACTTCGAAGTTTGATCAATGCTTCGCATTCGCATGTTCGTCACGACATATTGTCCATACTAATATCAATTGCTAATTTTCAATATATACCTTACTAATTGTTTCGTGTCGAAGGAATTACATTAGTGCACAGCTCATTCGCTCGCCATTGCCATAAGCAGGCCAATGTATATCAAATGCGGGTTATTATGACTGACACAAACCGCGTTGTCCGAACCAATTATTTACCTCCCAACACAATTTGCGTTATTATTCATGCGTACCGCACGCGATGCTGTCAATTAGCTCACTATTGTAATACCTCTTATCTTAAAAATCGCGAACGTTAATAATGCGTGCTATTATCGCGAATGTTGCATCACGTAATTTTGTTCGCAATATCCGCAATAATTCGAATGCGTTCGTTTCGAACGTATACGTTTCATGCTGCATAGATTAATTTAATAAACCATTATTAATTTTCAATCATTATAGGTCAGACCGCATCTGGAATTAACCTTTGAGAATATATTGTCACATATTAATACAGTGTACGTGTTACGAACGAAAAAAGGGGTAATGTGCGTTGAAGCTGCGGAAGAATATTCAAACTTACGTTTAAAGGTCAGTACTTTGAAAACGAAGTCGAGAAAGATTGAATAATTTCAACTGCTTGTATTAATTTTCTTCACGGCTTGCATCGCGTAAAAATTTAATTAATCTTTTAGGGACAAATGCTGTATATACCTGAATCCGATTTAGTTATCTTTCTATGCTACCCGAGCGTTATGAATCTGGATGACCTAACTAGGTAAGACTTATATATATAATTTTATCGCAATTTTTTTCCTTCTTAATGAAACTTTCCTTTCAATCAAACTTTTTCGTGGTAAATCGGAGGAAATAACGAAACGGTGAAGTACACAGTTGATTAGCATAAACTTCTGCGCAACTTGGTCGTTGTAAGACTTGTTAAACTTGTTCTCTCTTCTTTTGCAGAAAGGAAAGTTGCGACATCTAGTAATAATAATCTTTTCGGTCAACGTTTAAATTTTTTGCTCATTCGCGTCAAGTTTAAATTGATCGAAGTTTCGTGTTGACGTTACCGAAATCTTACACATGATTTATTATTGGAATAACGTGTCGCGCGTGACAAATGTCTTTATCGTCACAATATCGCTCTGCGTTATACTTTTGGCTTTAGACGGGGTCTGTACTTGAGCGACGTTCCTCTGCACGACGCCACACGAGATCTGGTTCTGATGTCGGAACAATTTGAGGCAGATTACAAACTGACGCGCAACTTGGAACTGCTCACTGATAAACTGCAGCAAACGTATCGCGAGCTCGACGGCGAGAAGCAGAAAACCGACAGGTAAAGATCTCCGACCACAGTATTTCCCGATTATCCCGCTGCCATACTTGTCCGCCGTTTTCTCGTAATACGATTACGCGAAATCCACGATTTTCCGTTTGCGCTGCAGTCCGCTTTCCACGACGATGAGATTCTCCGATGAAAATTAACGGAAATAGATTTATAACGGAACTCGATGCCGCAAAGCGAAAGCTTCCGTTTGAGCTAAAGTGAAACAGAAATCTTTTCGGAGATTTCCTGCATCGGAATTCTCTCGTCGAAACTACCCAAACTCAATCTTCCGCGACAACTTTGCGGAAAGTTTGTCGGGAAGCGCTCGCGGATGTTAATATGATTAGGCAAAACTGGCGCGCGCAACGTTGCGACGATGAATAAAAGATCTTCTACGTTCCGTAGATTACTTTACTCAGTCCTTCCTATTTCGGTGGCGAGCGAACTCAGGCACTCGAGACCGGTACCGGCAAAAAAGTATGATTGCGTTACTCTTCTCTTCTCCGGAATAGTCGGCTTCGGAGCATATTGTGCCGCTCACACAGACTCCAACGGCGCTATGAAAATCGTTAACATGCTCAATGAGCTGTACACGGCTTTTGACGTGTTAACCGATCCGAAAAAGAATCCCAATGTTTATAAGGTAAATATTTAATATTCAATAATTTAATATTTAACACGATGTAAATTTTCTTTTTGTAAATAGCGTCTTGAACAACGAATCGATCAACATAAATCACCGTTGCCATTTACGTAATAGACGTTTCCCCAATTATGAATATTTCACATGAAGTGCTTAAAAAGGAAGTGCTCGACGTAATTATATGCAAATATTGTGATTGTTTTCAATTGCGGTGTCGATAACATTCTCGAATTTGTCTCAGGTTTCCATAGTCGTTAATTTCGCTTTTGGTCGGTCTAGGTGGAAACCGTCGGTGATAAATACATGGCGGTGAGTGGATTACCGGAGCCCTGTCGTTGTCATGCACGATGCATCGCTCGTCTAGCGCTCGACATGATGGATCTCGCTGCTGACGAAGTGCAGATCGATGGGGAACCCGTGGTACGTACGTACAAATCGTCCGCACTCGCTAGCTATATTTTGGCTACGTTTGTGCGAAGCACTTTGCTAACAAGAGTTTTTCTATGAAAGTCAATTCAAGATTGAAAGATCGTTAAACATTGAAATGCAACAGTAAGCAAAGATTCAAAAGGGATTATCGATTAGTCAATCTATCAATTTTTCGAGCAAATTGAAACCTTTGTTCTGTTTTTTTTTTTTAACTACACGTACATACAAATAATATACGTATATATATCATGAACTGTCAGCGCTTTCCCCAGGGACAGATAGCACTTCCATGCTATTTTTGGTACCTCCGCAAAAAAAGGACTATATATTTTCTAAGTTTAAATAACTTTTATAAATTTAGATTGCATTATATGTGATCCATAAATAGGTAAAAAAGAAAAAGTAACCACAAAGTATTTACTAAGGTATAATTTAAACAAGATAATTTTAATAATAACTAACTAAAAATAACGAAAATTAGAGAAAAAAAGATGTGTAAATTATATTTTTCTTGAACTTTATATAATATTGTACTTATTATATTATTCTACAGAAAATCACGATTGGAATACACAGTGGAGAAGTAGTTACTGGTGTAATTGGCCATCGTATGCCTCGTTATTGTTTATTCGGAAATACTGTGAATCTCACTAGTCGAACGGAGACCACCGGTCAACCAGGAAAAATCAATGTTTCGGAAGATGCTTACAGGTAAATTATTTTTATTTTATACATTTATTCGGAAATATATATTATTAATCATATTAGAGAGAGAACAGAGATCAACCAAGAAAAATCAATGTTTTGCAGGTAAATTATTTTATACATTGTTAAATATAATATATATATATATTATATATTATATATTATATTTTTTATTATTGAACATAAGAATATCCAAAACTTGGTTTTTTATTTTTGTATATAATTATTTTTACTTTGCCTTACTTTCGCTTCTTTAAATTAAAGAAAGTTGCTATGTAACGGATCACAACTTCGGTTTCCCATTTCACGTCGTCTCACGACATACTTTCCGTTATTCTTGAACATTTCTAGTATTCACGTCACGGTCGGACAAGCATCCTTCACAAAACGTTTCTTTAGTTCTCAAGATTCATTAATGCAGCGCCATTATAAGACGCCACCATCTCGCCGACCTTTTGAACTTGACTTTTTTTCTCAAACTATAGACCTTGGACCTACTCGAGGACTTACTCGCGCGTCGTTGTGTGAGTTCGTATATCATCTTTCGTATGTCAAAAATTCCGCGCACAAAGTCTGGCTTGGATGTAAGATTTATATCTATCAAAGTCTTCTCTTTATTACTTTGCTCCACTTTTCTTGTGTATTTTATCGAATTCTACTGTCATCCGAGATTGAAGTGACGAGAATTACGAATCAAAGTTATACGATGACTTTGAAGGACTTTGACACGCGCATTTGTTGGATTGGATTCTGACGCCGAACCGGGAGATCGGCACGTTTCTATCGAATTTCAATAGAATTCCAGGACATAACTGCACACGTGCGATAATACATATTTCTACGGTTCTGCGCCGGGGACGAGAAGGAACGATTGATGCCGATCGCGTGAGTATCGCGCGATCTCGGACGAGATTTTCCGTCAATCCTGCAACAGATCGAGATAATCTCTCAGCGATTCCGGAATCTGTAATTTCTTGATTCCGTGGGGTAGCGCCCAGTTGCTGTGGAGAGTCTCGCGAATTCGACAGCGGCACAAATGCCTGAGTTCAGCCGGACGGATTCCGCTACGTTCCGGCGGTATCAGGTTCTGGTTCGCCAAGTTAGGATACTGTTCGTACAAGGACACGCTTAAGATGCCGCTGAGATGCGCGATGTGATCGGGAATTCTGATGCAGGCGGTGGCCACGGTTCGCAGCAATATTCTCAGGCACGTGACCAGGTGTTCCGGGTAAACGACTTCCTTCTGGCCGGGCTGCGCCTCGAATTCACTGAGTTTCGAAAGAATGATCTCTATCGGTGACGGGGCCAGTTTGTCGGACTCGATCGAAGCGCCGTAGCGCAGCATAATCAACAGGATGTCCGGCGCGCCGTGCTGAATAGCGAGGCTCAGAGGTAGAACCTGTCCGTACGACTCCATGGGCACGTCGATGAAGCGTCTCTTTATCGGCGAGGACTCGCAACGGTACTCGAGCTGGCCGCTAATCGCGTGATTCAAGAAATATACCAGGGCGCGGATGTTCTCCGCGCGGTCGTCAAAGTCGCATTTCCAGCCGGACAGGAAGTGCGTAACGCGCGTACCGAAGATCGCCCCGATGAACAAACGCTCGAAGGTCTTCTCGCAGTAAAATATGTCATTCAATAATCGGCTGACGATCTCGTTGTTATTGAGTTCCCAGTCGTAGCAGAGCTTCGCCGCCACGTAAAGAACGTTGTGGAACTTGCCGAGCAGACAGACCGATCCGTTCTCCATCATCGTGATATTGTGATAACGTAGAGCCGAGAGAACGATCCTCTTGCACACGTCCTGCTTGTCGAGGTCCTCCGCTGAAAGTATCAGACAAACGTGATAATTATTCTTGTCGATTGTACGGGTCGAGCGGCGGTTAAAATGCCTACGTTTCTCCGCGTAAAACGGAGAGAAACGGACGTGAAAATTATTCTGGAATTCGTGGCGATACGTCTACGGCGCGTAGTATTTTTCACCGTTATTGCAACGGCATTAGCTAAACAAATGAAGACAAATAGAAAGGATTAGACGCGATTTAATGTAACGGTAAGTCATGATGGGCGGCGATATCTCTACGTGTTCTATAAATATTTGCGTCGTGCAACGGAGACGAATAAAAAATTACGTTCTTTATCGGCGTAAATTAACTTCATGCGTCGTTAATATCGCAACACTATGACGACATATCATCGATAAATTTCGGAATTTTCTGTCGAGAACACGTGGATGATAAAATGACATTATCATAAATTAATGACCATTGATTCTCAGCAGTGACCCATTTATCACTTATGCGACTCGCGCGTAAACATTCGCACAATACATGACATGGGCATCATAAATCTTGTTACCTTCTGCACAACTGTTTATCACGTCCGTGAAATAATTGACCAGCTCGCGACGTTTGTATCGCGAAGCCAAGCAACTGCGTTCCATTTCCGAGAATAGTCTGTCGAAATAACAATCTATTAACACTTCCATTATTTCGGAGCAGCTCGATCGTATAATTTCAAATATATAAAGATCGCGCAACATTTGTCGCGAACGTTCCCGTTTTAATGATTGCTAGCGGAAAAAACAACCCAGCACCACGTCAGCACTAATTCAATTAGAGGTGAAATACGCACTTTAAAGGCTTCTTTAACCCTCTCTGAGACATTCTACACGCATAGGAAAGAATAAACTTGTAAGCTTTTTATTTTTTATTTATCAAAATTTAAAAATCAAAATTTATTTGAAAATATTTGATGAAAAATAATAGAGAGGTAATTATATTTTTAAATATTATTTTTTAAGAGTAATATAGTTATTATGTTAATATTAAAATATAACAAATGCTTATACGATTTGTTGCAGGTATCTATGTATGCCCGAAAATCAAGATCCACAGTTTCTTTTGGAATACAGAGGTCCTGTTTCTATGAAGGGAAAATCCGAGCCTATGAACGTGTGGTTTTTATCCAGAGAAAGAGAATTGACGTCATAAATGTTACGACATTTGTTTTTTGCATTGAATTTTATAGCAATAATTTCAAGAATTAGTTTGAGAATTAAAATCAATATATTATGGAATAATAAAATTCGTACATTTGTTCAAAGAGATAGCTGATAATGGAGATAAGGTGTTAACAATGAGTGTGTTTATGTAAGACACTTTTACGACTGTATGTATTATATGCAGAAGAGTTTATAAAGAGTTTATCGCATTGGAACATCATTGATGTCGATTGTTTTGAAACAAATTGTATAATTAAATGCCATCACTTCGCCGGCGATAAGTTGTTCGGCAGCTGTAAGTGTACAAGGTAATTAAATATAATCGTTATTTATTTGGTGACATTACAGCGATAAATTTTTCCTTTCCCGTTTCGCTGATGTCGCCCGACGGGTCATCGATAATCCCTTCCCGCGTTGGAGGTCATAGACACGAAATGTCCTGCCCTTAGCTGAAAAAAATTCAGCAGGAATAACCAGATAGGCAATCTATACTGCACGCAACTAAGAGATGTAACGGGACATGTTCTAGTCCTCTTTAAATTTTATATGCGTTGTAAAAGCAATATCTCTTACGTGCATTCTATGCGATCCTAAGCACGCCGGCGATTCATTACAGTACATTTTTGTAGGAAATTTGAAGAAAATAATTGTGTTTTCTGAAATTATCTAATTCGAAATAATTGCAATAATTATGTTAAATTCAAATTGTTGCTTTTATTATATTACATTACACAAATGTGACAAAACAACAAATTTGGAGGTAATATTATTTGTTATAGTATTCTAATTATCATATATCATAATTATTATATTTTGATTAAAATCATTGATTAATTTCAGTTTATGATAAACATTACCCAATGGATGAAGCATACTCACAAATCATTATTATCGGGCGACATACCGACGTTCTAAAAGAATTTATATACATATATATATTCGGCAATCTATGTGAATTTAATTTATATTTTTTGTAGAACGATGAATTACCGGTTGTCCACGCATCGTAAAAAAACTTTCTCTGATTTCTCAAAGCATCTTTAAGAATTTATATCTGTCATGTAAACGTATAATATGTAAACATTGTATATAAATTTACAGGTATAAGTCGGCTTTACACACATGTAATAGAAAAGATAATATTAAACCAGGAAGATGTATTTATGTGAAATTATCATAAAAGGGAACGAGTGAATGGTCGGTTAGATCAAATAGTCGATAGCATTATACCACCACTAGGATCAGCCAAGTTTTCTCTACTCTCTCTTATTCGCGACATTTCCCATCAACATCCACGCACAATGAATACTATTGCCACATCCTCCGGCTGAAATTACCGATCGCCGTGGTGAGATGTTCGGTGCGTAGCCCGCAGGGCGATCGCGCTTTCCATTCACACGGCCATTCACGGGGGTATGCACGAATTACAGTGAGCGGTCCGAGCGGGGACGCCGCGGGGAGGTGAGGATCATTCTGCAGTGTCGGTGGTGAAATTTCGGCAGGTGCACACCGACGCAACGTCACGTTGCGCGCACACCTACGCGCAAACCTGCTCCGTCCACTCGTGAAAGGTAGTGAACGGTAAAGAATCAGGTATTTAAATAAGGAACCGGACGGTCGATCTCGGCTGGGTTCGATAGAGGACGCCACTCGGCCAGGTGGATACCTGTCGGACGACTACGAGCCGACTTGGAGAGAACCCGTTTTCGTCCTTCCACACGAGTCTCGCTCCTTTCTCCCTCCTTTCCATCGCCTTCTTCCCCATAGACGGCCCGACGGTTTCCCACTCCTCCTTTTGCTATGCCCACAGTACCGGGGTCCGACTTCAGTCCCCACCCGGGCCGCGAAACTGCATGAGTGAGTGTCGGCGGCACTCAGTACAGTTACTGACGTTCCGTGCTGTGAACGATCACCGGTTGATCGTCGTCGTCCTCGTCATCGTCATCGGCTTTAACGGCTAAGTCGAGTGCGATCGAGTTTTACTATGCATCGCTCTTGATACACATATGAGGTTCGTAAGTGGTGCTATCCCGCTCCCCGGCGACACGTCTCCTTCTCGCCGTCTCACGGCTCGATTTTCTCTTTCTCTTTTTTGCGTGCCGGTCCCGTACGTTCCACACAGGTCTCTCTCTCTCTCTCTCTCTCTTTCTCTCTCTCTTTCGTCTGCTCTGGCAGGTAGTCCGCGATCTCGCACGGCCACAGGTGCGTGCAAGGTGCTAACGTTTTCTCGTCCAGCGAAGCCGCGGGCCTTACGGCCGGCCGACCTGATTCGAACGGCTCCGCAATTCGTCAAACTTCCCCGTGTTCGCTCGATCGTCCTTGCAAACTTCACCGTAGCGAATTTGCAGCGCGATCGATAAATCACGTCGATTGTGATTCAAAATTGATCGTCGGAATTTAGATCATTTTGCGGAGTGAGCATTGGTGCTGCAGTGCGCGGTGACATTATAAGTTTCAATTACGAGTTTTAATGTATGATTAATTAATTGATATATTTTTCTCGTGCAGCGCATCTTTTGCGCGATAAACACGGTGTGTGCAATATGGACCATGGATTTCAAATAAAAATAATTTACAACATCATCGATACTCTTGTGAAAATTTTCTGCGTGTGAATATTTATTCAACACATTAAACATTGTTTAGATTTAATTGATTCAAATGGATGATTTTGTGCGAAGCTCGTGATTCGAAAATCGAGAATTGGTTAAGAGAGATAAGATGCAATACTATATTAATATTACTGGTTAAACGGTTAAATTGGCGATGTTGAGTAACATTAGTACAATATTTCAGTATATATGCCGCGAGCACGAATCGCTGATGCGAACGTGCCGATGAAAAGCGGTCCGCTCCAACGGCACTCGACTTTGATCGAGTGTTATTTTGCTCCGAATTGCAGTTGTTCAGCGCGAGCAATCCGTGTTGCATTTGCGGTAAATTAATATCGCGGTGAATCACGATAGATGTTCGTCGAAATGTGTGGCCATTTCGGGAAATAGATTCCGCGCGATCAATGTCCCTTAATGACTCTCGGATAAAGGAAAATGTATTTCTGTCATATTTCAAAATAACAAACGTTAGACTTAATGTGGGAAACGATCTTACGATAAGTCGATCGAGCACGAATCGACCTCATAACAAATAAGAAGTCGCGAAAGGAAAGAGAAAGAGAAACCCGCGAAGAGAGGAGTGCGCGCTGGTCCTTGACTTTCCAAATTCCTTCTCAAGGTGAAGCCTATCAAGCGAGTGACGGTGACCTCGTATGCACGTATGGATGAGACTGCCACGATGACCGTCCCACCGCCACTACCAGCGAAGACTCAGGCCCGGGATGCGAGCCAGGCCACCCGTCAGACTGTGTCAATCCGGACCATTTCCCCTTCCGCCTCGCCGCCTCTCGCCACCGGGCCCGGAGCAACGGTATTCGTCGGAGTTAGCGCTCCCATCGCTGATTCCGCGACAACCTGCAGGAGAAGAATCCCGGAAGTGCAATCGGCGAACGGCGGCTACGAAGAACGGAGCAGCGTCGTGGAGCCGTCGCGGTGGCAGCAATCCCAGCATCAGCAGCAGGCCGCGCACATAGTGAAGATCAAGATCAATCCGGATGGTGACAAGAACAGCAGAGTGATATCGACGGTACGGTTGACACTGGACGACGAGAACGGCCGGGATCGCGAGATCGAGAACGGTGGCGCGTGCGAACGCTCGGGTAAACACGGCGACGGTGCGGTGGTGGTGAGTGCGACGAACCTGGTGAACGAGCGACACTGCGCGAGTGCCGGTGCCGGTGAGGGCTGTGTGAGGATCAGTGTCTTCAGCGGCGATCCGGCCGCAGCGGCCTACAACAATAACAACGGCAATCATAAGAACGACAGTGACGACAGCGAGAAGAGCGGTCCGGACAACGACGGGAGCGACATGGTGCACCGCGGTACCACGGAGACTCTCAACTCATCCACCCTGGGCGGTCGCACGAGCGCCTGTTTCTATTACAATTCTTACCAGAGCCCGTTAAGCGGCATGGTGATGTCGAGCGGGCAATGCTCGCCCAGCGACACCTTGGACAGCGGTACCTGCAGCGACCTTGACGGCACACCGCCGCCGCTGCCGAAGAAGAAGAACGCCAGCACGGTGATACTGTCCAACAGTACGCACAACCGGACCGCCAGCCTCACCAGCAGCGGCGCCGAGGTCGACAGCGACGACAACGAGAGCAACATCAGCTGCGACTCCTTGAACGGCGCCGAGATAAACGGCGACGTGGGCGAGAATCGGGTGCACGGAACGCCGAAGACGAGCGTCGAGGAAGCAACGGGCGTCGTTGAGAAATTGGATCGAATCGCGCTGACGAATGGCAATGAAATCGAAGATTCGAGAAACGTTCAACAGGTCTCGGCCGCGGCGATAACGGAACTCGGCTCCGCGCCGTGCTCGCCGGTGTCGTCGGCCAGCGTCTCGCCGTCAGCGTCCGGAACGTCGTCTCTGTCGAAAGCGTCCTCGACGCCGCGGGTGAGGAGTCCCAATCCTACGATCGAGCAAAACGGCAAATTGGCGTTATCGCCGGTTGTAAAAGAATGCACGTACGAGGAGAGAAAGCAACGGGAGCAGGAGAGGTTAGAGCAGGAGTGCGCCGATGCCAGTCAGAATCGGCCGACCGGACACAAATACCTATACGAAGACGACAGGTACTATAATTTCCACGTGAACGAGTTGCGCGATAATAATAAGAACTCCAACGGCGAGCACGGCGTTGCCGAGAACGACGAGTGTTTCGCCGGCTACAAAATCCACGATAAGGAAGCCATACGAAGTGCCAAAGGGACCGTGCGCGGTGTGAAGAACAGAGTACGAGCAGGCATCGCGACGTTCCTGCAATCACCCACCTCCAAGGTTTGTATCAACACATTAATTTAATTGCTAACATAGTGTTGCGCCTGCAGTGCTCATATAAATTTTAACTGCACAAAATATGATTAAATTTACAGTGTAATAATATCTGCATTTTCACATGATACAAACAATAGTAAATAAAACGCGTTTTTTAATATTTTCTCAGTAAAAAATTAAATTATATTTATACGTAAAAAAGATAATAAAAAAAACAGAAATTGAATAAATTTTAAATAAAAATTGTTGGCGGAAGTTATTTTGGAGAGAAAATAATATAAATTATTGCATTAATCATTTGTATTACTAAATGTATAAAATATAGCCTTATAAATATTTATTTTTCTAAAAATTCGAAAAATGTTTCGCACGACAATACCATTTATAGACCGTATAACGCTCTTCTCGCGTTTGCGGCTTCACGCACTTTAAATATCGACCGATCGACACGGCAGTAGGGTTGAACCCCGTAAACGGCGGTTCGACTTGTTATGCAAATCAGGTACTGGCACCGCGAGTACCTGAAGTGCGTATTGACGAGTTGGAATCGGTATCGTGCAGTATGGCGCAAGCCCGTCAAGTTGGACGCTCAAATCCGCGCATCAAGCGCTAGATGCACTTGATTCGCATAATCTACAGGTCGACGCAAAGCGTTAGATTTACAGTTAGATAGCCGCGGCGTCCTCCATCGCTCGCCGCTTTGGATCACCATCAGGTGGCATCAATTGGTAACTATATCATGTGTCCTGTCCTGCTCGCATTCCACGCATGCTTTACGAGACGCAGAAGACCAGGCGTTTTCGTAAGGAAACACGATAATAGATTCTTGATAACGATGAATCATTGATATTTATTGAATAGAATAAAACAGTTTATATTTACAACGGTTTTATATAACCAAATAAGTTGGTTAATAACTATTAATTATTACACGAAAATAAACGGATATTTTTATAGTGGACGTTTGCAAAGCTACAAAGTTTATTGGAACTTGAAATAGCGAGCTAAAAAAATTTAATGATTATTTTCTCTTTTTTTTTTTTTATACGATGATATATTACGACTTGTCTGATCTTGGGCGACTTTCGTTTGTTATATCTTTGTCATAAAATATGAAATGTGAAGTGACGTCGTCAATGGTCGAGTTTTCTTGACGAGCTCAGATAGCACTCAAGACCGTATGGTGATCTGTTGCGAATGATAATCTTTTGCAGCGTCCTTCGGCAAATATTGACTATCGTCTTGCCATTGAACGCATTTAATCGTCGTGATAATCAGCTTACTTCTTAACGCATACGAACCTATTTACCGTCTGTCGACTGCCGGTTGTTCGATGCAATTCACATCAAATTCGTCTCGGATTCTGACGAGAAATCCGCTATTAAGGTCTCATTAGGTAAATTCGAGACAACCGGCATAATATATATGTATATGTGTGTCTCTTTATTGCGAGATTTCCGGTGTTGCTATGCGAACGTCATGCGTACACGACGTACGTACCATCGATGCGGAACGGATCGACATAACGGTAGATTCGATAAAACGATACACTGCGGCAAGTGCGCAACGTCCTGAGATACATTGGTCACGAAACGCAAGCAGGTACGTCCTCGCGCACACATCTTGCTTTTCATCCTCCTCTTTGTTATCGCGCACCCGCGCTGGCATCCATCCCGTCCGTGCGCGTGTGCGATCGCGCGGCCTATTTCGCGAAATTACAGAGACCGAGGCTACCTCGCTTGCACGCAAATGTACTGGCAACGGCTGCGGAGCAATCCGGCGCTTCCTCGCGGCTGAATCTGCCTTTGAGACTTCCACGACACGCCTCGATTGCGCTTTTCACGTGCAATCCGCTGCAAACGTATAATTATTTCCGTTCACGACGAAAATCGACATTCGCGACGAACATTATGACATTTTAATGAGACACGTTCTGTATCGTAATTACTGCTGCCGCTAAAAGGGTTCTTCTTTAAACTGGTTTTAAAAAATATTTTCTATTTACAAAAATAACATGTTTCAACATATTTAATAAAAATTTACATTTAGTTAAAATTTATTTTTTACAAATAGTAACTAATTTTTAAAATGCATTAAATAATGGAAACAAACAAACAAACTATAATGTTAGTTAAACGTTAATTCATTTGAAATGCATTCTTTGGTAATAATACTCAAAGGTGACGCTTGCGCTTTCGAAACATCTACTTCAAGCTCGAATGACGGTCTGAAAATCGCTAGGGAACGCCGCTGTATGCCAATAAATTTTTAATGATTGATGCATTAACCGCACGCTCGGGTAACCGCAATTTGCGACATCGAAATGTCGTGTGTGATTTTGCAGACCGCGCCACTGACCGGTGGAAGAAACTTGATTTCACATAAAAAAAAATTAAGTACGTATACCAATACGCTGACCTGAAATCATAAATATCGCTTCGGGTAAACCACCGTGCGGTGCGCCCTACATTCGTCGTTTCTCACTTCCTCATTGCACAGCAAGGCACGCAGATTCATCTTCATACTCTGTGCACCTCGCTGGAACAGACGCGCTAGTATTTTTTTATTTTCCATGCCAAATTAATTTTTTTCTTTATCTGTATCAGTATTTTAATTGATATTACAGAAGTGCAATTTCATATTTGTAGATACATATAGTGCAGAGAATATTAAATATAACATTAATCTAATAATTGTGGTACCCTTGACATGTTGTATTATGTTCGCGCGTACAATATGATTTAATTATTTTTATAATTTTGTATTTTGCATTTGCATGAAATATTCTGCAAAAAGTATACTCTACGTGACGTAATCAGCGCTTTCACGAAAATATTGTGAAAATTTGTTTTACAAGGCACGTTTATAGCAGACATTTGCTTTGCGACAATTTTCTTCTATTGCTTAACGCTCTGTGTATAATAGAAGTTCTTGCGGTCGGGGCGAATACTTGAAATTGCAAGTGTCGGAATGTAATGCGAAATTACTTCCGAGTCTGAAAACTTCGACGTTGTTTACATCATACTACGGCGATCTTCAAATCCCGAGAAATGTTTCCATATCTTTATACTTTCACGATAAATACGAGATGCTTGATTATTATTACGACTTAGCTAGGTTTAAAGCACAACGTGCAATAGGAAATTACGTATCCATTTCCGTGTAATTAACAGCTCAAAGCAAGTTTCAGGTACAGCAAAGTGCTTAACATAACGAAACTTGTGGCTAAAAGCGTCACAGTAATTTCCTGGACGAAATGTATCTGTCTTGACAGGTTAGTGTAGAATTTTGTAAGCCGAATTGCTACATGCACCCACACACACAGCGATCTCTCAACAGATTAAATAAAACATGCTTTATTTTCGGCAGCGGAGAAAAATTATGAAATTGTCGAAATTATAAAATTGAAAGAATCTACTCTTATTATTTAAAAAATTTAGATGCATTTATAATCGTCATGACGGCTTCAAATATTTTATTCTCATATCGAACATCGCTATATTTTACGACGATTTATATTCATTACTAGTAATTGATATACAATAAATTCGTCGAAAATAAACATGCCAAGCCGCGCGTGGTTATATACAGAAGCACATCGCGTATATCTCGCATGTCGTTTCGGCGAGTGATTATATACCGTAGAACAGTAAACACAATTAAAACGTTATACATTTAATGACCAAATAATCTGTTTAGCGAGCGGAGGTGTATGCCTCTCGCTTAGGGCTCTGTATTATTCCGGGTAGCTGGTTTTACTGTCGGTGTATTTAATTAAAAAATTTTTATAAGGCCTTAATAGGTCTGTTGCACATGGCGCCGCGCGATAATTAAGTTAAATCTGGAAATATTATTTTCGCGCGGAACGCAATAAAGCTACAATGACAATTAATTGGCTGCCTTTTAAGCACGGACAAAAAACGAATTGAAGCTACGGGCTTTGATAAAGCGCGATTGTCTGAATCAAAATCAATTAAATCACCGATATTGATCAGCTAACTCTAATAAGATATAACTTTCCTTTTCCGCAAGAGAACTAATCATTATCCTTTTTTTCTTTTACTCGTAACTAGTTACATAATTACATGTTTTGTTCCGTATAATTACGTATAAAAGTAGATACACTGGATGCATTCAACCAATAATATCGAATGCTTGATATTCTCGAAATATATACTTTCTCATCGATGAAAGTGGAACAGTAAATGTAATAAATGAACGGCAGCTCGCAAAACAGGAAGGCGATTACGAGAGAATTATTCCAAACTATTAATTTATTCCTTCATTATAATAGATAATAACGCCTTTTATCAAATTCCGCCGACCGACTCCCGTCCGATGACGCGCATTCAAACTGTCTACATAGACATCTTGCTTTAACCAGTCCGGATAAGTTTGTTGCCTCGTGCTTCATGCGCAGGGTATTCATGCGCGAGTCTACGCATGCAGATCGCAAACTAAATAGCCTTACTCTCGCTCGCACTATAAATTTTCATGAAGCTGATTTACACGTGTGCGCACAACCCAATTCGGTATCTTGGAAACCGCTGAATGTAGAAGGTGAAATAATCAATGATAAACGCGACACAAATACGACTCACTTCGTCATCTTCATCTTCTTTGCGAGCTGACTTTCTTTATTTTTTTTCTACGAAAATGATGCCCGCGACCGATCATGCTGATGATGTTGATTGAGCTTTATCTGTTCCGCGATACAACTACGTATATCATTCAAGCTACGTCGCACGAGTTGAGAGATTTCTACGGCACGCGATATACGTCGCTCAATTATCGAATTGATAGACTTCGCGATATTAAATTGATAGATTCCATCTCTCACATGTGCCGGCAATAAAGTGCCGCATCTCGCACAAAACGATAATAGCCTTTTCGAAATCTGGCGTCTGCAATCATTTATCTTTATGTAAATATACTTTCGCCGCACTTCTGTCATTCGGAAAGTTCCAACGACCGCGTAAACGCCTTATGTAAGTACGCCTGAA